CCCCAAAACCCCAAAACCCCAAAACCCCAAAACCCCGATTTTACCCCACATCGTTGAAAATAGGATCACTTTGATGGCCAAATATATTCTACATTATATCTCTTAATAGCCTAGTTGTCTTGACTTGGTTGGGCATTTTCCTGTTGAAGGCTGAGAGCAATCGCAGCCATTAAATCATCATCCTCGGAAGGCTGAGATACGACAGGGGGAGGACCAAATCCTCCACCATGCATGTCTTCTAAACTAGCTTTTATAGCTGCATCAATCTCACTTTGGTCAGCTCCGTCAGTATTGAGTGGCCTTGTCTTGTTTTGGTTATAATCTTCTTGTAAATAGTCTAGGCCTAAGTACCTCTGACTCTCTCGAAGAGAGCTAACAGTCTCTTCCTTTTTTGGTTGAGGAAGGGAATCTCCTCTGACAGTGTAGATGGTGTAGTTAGCTCCTTTAACAGCTTCAAGAAACACTTCAAGGTAAAAATCACTCACTATTTGTGGCCCGGGCTCCATATTTGTTGAGTTTAAGTTGAACCAGATTCCATGAACTTTCCTAATGGCAAACCAGTGATCAGCAGAGTTACACAGAAACGCTTGGTTATCACTAGCAATGTCAGAAGTTCTTACTCCTGGTTTGTCAAGATTAAGCAAGTCATATGTCCCAACTCCCTCGATTGCTTTCTCTAAGACCTGGATATTATAATTTCCGTCGTCTGCTATATTGTTAGTGCCTTCCATAGCACTGAGAGGGATGCTTTGAGCTTCAAGGATTTTCTTCTCTTCCTCGTCTAACTGCCTAGCAATCTCAAAAAGACTTGACTCATCAAAAATGGGTCCTTGAACAATAGAATTGAGGCAATGAAGTCCTCAGAGGCGGTCCTTCCCTTGCTCTATATCATAAATGAGTCACCATCGAGAGTCTAACATCACTGTAAATTAGCTTACTCTCCCAATACACGAACTTGGTTGGCTCACCAGCTACATCTTCGGCTTGCATATCTCTTAATAATTGTATAAGTTCAAAAATCTTCTTTCAGAAGGGGTTTTGGGGTTTTGGGGTTTTGGGGTTTTGGGGTTTTGGGGTTTTGGGG